TGTTTTGTTGATTATCCAGAATGTGTGTATTTTGAATGGCCTATTTTAACCTATTAATAATTGTCCTCAGTTTATGGTTTAAACCCTTAGATTTATCTGGATTTTTTTGATTAAACCCTTAGATTCATCTGGAGCACAACTCAGCTCAGCTGCAACTAAATAATACCAATATTCTTCCAACAAAGAAACACATGGTTAACTTTAATTCTAATTAAGTTACAATCAAAGTCGCTGAGAAAACAAAGACACAAAGACGGAACAATACTATGTAACTACACTTAGGATGGCAGTTGATGCCGAAAAGAGCTTTTCTGTAAAAATTACGTTATTTATGTTGTGTCAAAATGTCAAATATTAAAAGTTTTTTATTTAACCTTAATAAACTTCATCAAGATGATAAAAATCTCTTTAAAAAATGAGAAACTCAACTACAAGTTTAAAAATGCCATAAACGCAGTGATCTTTATAAATAATATATATATATATATATATATATATATATATATATATATATATATATATATATATATATATATATATATATATATATATATATATATATATATATATATATATATATATATATATATATATATATATATATATATATATATATATATATATATATATATGTTGCTGACAAAATTGCGCCTCTCCGGTCTATCGAGCATAGAAGTGATCTTATGGCTCCATGGTTTGATGAGTCTAGAGCAGCTAGAAAATACTGTCGAAGTAAAGAAAGGAAATACAGATGTTGTTTGTCATCAGCGAGTCAAAATGAATGGATTGCTTCTTTGAAAAATAAAACCAAACTATTTTCAATAAAAAGAAATGATTACTGGAAAACGTTGATTGCCGATAGTAATGGTGTAATAAACAAAATTATTGTAAAGGTAACCATAGCTTACTGTTATGTCTGAGTTGTTTAATGCAATTGATAAACAATATGTTTCGCTGCTTACATTCTTGGACACGAGTGCTGCCTTCGATTGCGTAGACCATCAAATACTGATGAATCGCCTACAATATGATTACGGAGTTACTGGAGTTGTAGCTACTTGGTTCAATTCGTACTTGTTTGGCAGAACTCAGCAGGTTTTTTTCGGGAACAAATTATCTGGTATTGAAGCAATGTCATCTGGTGTACCACAAGGCTCAGTCCTGGGACCTGTTCTGTTTGTACTGTACACTGCTGAAGTATATGAAGTAATTAGAATCTTTTGGATTTGTATGTCATGCGTACGCTGATGACATCGAAATAATAGTTAGCAGTGAACCAAAACTGTTTAAAAGTAAAGTTGAATATCTCATGAATGCTTGACTAAAATAGGTAAATAGATGTCAAGAAATTGTCTCAAACTGAATCAAGATAAAACTCAATTTTTACCTGTCGGTACGTGGCAACAGCTTTCTAAAATTAATATTAATTCAGTCAAAATTGATAATAATGAAATACAACTCTGGGAAAATGCAACAAACCTAGGGTGTTTTTTTGACTCGAGATTATCTTTCAAGGATCATATAAAAACCATATCTAAATCATGTTCTTATCAGCTTTGCCAGTTATACCGCGTTCGGAAATATTTACATCAAACAACCATGCAAACACTAAGTCATGCGTTTGTTCATTAACGGTTAGACTACTGTAATAGCTTGTTCAATAGATTACCAGAGAGATTTGTTGCTTTTCTTCAATCGATACAGAATAGAGCTGCAAAAATAACTGTTGGACGTAGAAAGTATGACCATGTGACACCCATTTTAAGAGACCTACATTGGCTAACAGTGAAAAAAAGAATCAACTATAAGATTTGTGTGACTATGTATAAGGCTTTGAACGGGTTGTTACCAGTATATCTAGTAAATAAAATCTTAAAAAAACCAGCTTCTTCAACAGGTGTAAAATTGAGATCAGTCTATGGCAACCTACTGGAAGTGACAACTACTCAACTACAAACTGCAACTAGAAATATTGCCGTGTCAGGACCAATTGCCTGGAACAGTCTTCCGCAATCACTCAGAATGCCTGGACTAAAGCTTGATGATTTTAAAAGGAACTTAAAAACATATTTATTTTGACATAGAAATACTTTATCGATTTTTACTTTATTGGCCTTCACTGATTTCATTTATAATAGAGAGCGCTTTCGAGAAATTTCAATTTTATAATGCGCTTAATAAATTGTTGATATTAATAATATATATATATATATATATATATATATATATATATATATATATCTTTTCTTTTTACTATATATTAATGAAAGTGAAGTAGTTGCCCTTGTCAACAGGTATGGTTTTCTTTGTCACGAGTATACTGATGACATAAAAATGTGTGCTTTATGCTACCCGTCCAAGTTTTCAAATATGTCAGACAAACTTGTTAGATGCATTAATGAAGTCAGTGAATGGTTGGGTAAATATAGATTAAAGATAAACCAAAAAAAACTCAAATCATGCTTATTTGAAATCTTGCAACAACTATCTCTAGTTAAGGAAGACTCTATCTGCATGTGCATAACTGACATCCAATTTTCTGATGCGATCTCAAATATTGGTTTTATCTTTGACAAGCACTTGACGATGGATGAACATGTTACATATTTAGTTAAAAAATTCTCGTTTCAATTAACTCAGTTAGGTCTAACTAAAAAATACCTTAATAAAAATTACACATATATATATATATATTTGGGTGGTTTGTGGTTCGATCATGTTACGCCAATTTTGAATAAGTTGCACTGGTTGAAGGTTGAGAAACGTGTTTTCTTCGAGTTAGCAGTTTTGATGTTTAAATGTGTCAATAATGCAGCACCTCCCTATCTTATTGATAGATTAGAGTCATACAAATCTCATTTTTCAAAATATTCCTTCCGATCAACCGAGCGCAATTTATTTTTTATCCCGACTACAAAGTTAGTGACGGGTTCCCGCAACTTTGCGGTTCTTGGCCCGGTTGTTTGGAATGGTATACATCCTTACTTACCTGACCCTAACCTACCATATTTACAATTTCGAAGTCAGCTTAAAACTTATTTATTTGCACAATGAACGTCCGTCTTATTTGTCTATGATTCAGTAGCGCTTTTGAGTTTCAACAATTAAAAAGCGCTGTATATAAATTTCCGTAATAATAATAATAATATATTATGGATATATATATATATTGCGTGTGTGTGTAAGTGTATGTGTGTGTGTGCATGTGAATGTGTCTGTGTGTGTGGGATGTGTGTTTGGGGTGTGTGTTTGGGGTGTGTGTGTGTGTGTGTGTGTGTGTGTGTGTGTTTGTAGTTTGGAACAAGGTTTTCTTTGATGCTTTGATGCATGTCGTTGAATTAAATGCCCATTGTGCGTTCATAAGTTTTTTAACAAAAAATTTAGCGCCACATAATTGTTTATTTCTATATTTGTTCATATTATTCATGAATTCTGGTTGGCTTACTACAACGCTGGTTTTGCTAAATTGCCATCTTCGGAGCCAAATTGAATTATTATGACGAAAGTTAAAAAATTTGTAACAGTTAATGGATATAAATGAAGTTTTATATCGATAAATTTATATAAAGTAAAAAAAATTAAGTTGAAAAATTAGATTGAAGTTACCAGTTAGCCAATTTTAAATGTTCCTTTTTTAATTGACTTAATTAAATGAAATTAAGTTTAAGTGAAATTAAGTGAATTTTTGTATTTCAACTGGGTAAAAATTCTAAGTTTAAATTTGACTAAAATTTTGTTACCAATTCTGTGCTTTGTTTCTCAAAGCTCGTTTATTAATTTGTTGACAGTGAAACATTCATTTAAATTCATGCGTCTAAAAAAATTCATAGCTTGATGCGTAAATTCATCAATGTCTTTTTACAAAAATGTAATTCTGACAATTAAAAGTAATTTAAATTCAATTATTGTATTTAATACATATCAATTTTCTGAAAATTGTTTTAATCGATAATTTCAAAATATAAAATTAAGATTTTTAGATTAAAATAATAAAATATATTTTTAGCCATATTCAGAATCTTATCAAATGTTAAAAACTTATCAAACGAAATTGTTTTTTTTTCAATTTTTATATAGTAGCTCTATCAAAAGCAGAATTTTATACTTTTACATTTAACTTTCGTGCCACAAAGGCTGTACCTACTATGCACACCATACGAAACACATACAAATTATGTATGCACGGGAAAGCATTGCCTCATACCATAGGATGGTCATTAGGTTTTCGAACCATGTCATCAAGTAATAGCATGGCGAGATCGACTGAGCTAACTCGGTGACGTTTGATAAAAATTTATTACCGGATTCGTTTTTAAAATTTCTTTTTTCAGCTGGTTTGGGGAGAACAGGAACAATGATAGGCTGTTACATGATGAAATATATGAAATTTACAGCGGCGGAAAGCATAGCCTGGCTTAGGATGGCCAGACCTGGTTCAGTTATTGGCATGCAACAAGTTTTTCTCAACGAGTCAGTGTCACATTCAGCTATGACAATAACTATTTTGACAAACAAAAATTTAAAAAAATTAAAATAAACTTTTATATGAAAATATCATAATTAAACGATTTTTTATAAACTGTTTCTTTATTTAAATATAAATTTTATTTCATAACTTTTTGTGATTGACTTATTTTATATCTCGATTTATTTACAGTATACAAAAATTTTTGTGGCAAGATGGGGGTAAAGATCATGAACCTTTGAAATTTGGCTTTAAATATTTTGCTGAAAAAAATTCAACTCATAAACAAGCAGAACACCTGATGCAACAAAATCACAGTGAGGAGCCAATTTCAGCCAGAAATAAAAAACTCGCAGGGTTGATGACTTTTGAAACAAACGAAAAAGAAGATGACACATTTTTCAAATCATGGTCTGAAAAGTTGACACCACAGAATGATCAACAATCTCATCAGCAAAAATTTAAAAAACCTCATAAACCTTCTTTAGATTTTAGGCCAATGCAAACAAATGACTCGACGCTACATCAACATTACGTTAACAATAGCGATGCCAGTGACTTGGCTAAATCGGAATCAATAACACAGGGAGACGTTTTAAACCAAATGAAATTTAAACGGGAAAATGTTTACAGTGATAAAAATAAAGGGTTTATTAATAAAGTTGGAAGTGTAGACGAAGGGTTGAGTTGCATTGGAAATCAGAAAAATGCTGGAATAAGAACTCCATCACTTACTTGTCCTGAAATAGCAATTGGAACTCGGATTCAAAACTCTTCATGGGCTAAGTTAGAAAATATATTTGAAATTATTATTCGAATAAAATTTAATCACGCTATAGCAAAAATTTAATTTGTCTAATAGATGAAAGCAATTTAAAGATTTTTTTTTTCTTTGAAATAACATTTTTATACGATAATTTTCTAATATTTGGCAAATTTCTAAATTTGCAGTTATAAATCAAAGTTAAACAAGCCTGTGAACAAATCCATTGCAAATATAACAGGAATGAAAAAAAGAGTTTCGGCAATTGGCGATGAGTGTGCCAACGCAGCTGAAAATAACAACAACGAATCAATAAATCAAAATCAAACAAAACTGGACAAAAATCTTATTACGAACCCAAATACAATTAATTTGAAAAACAATATTAACATAAATTCTATTAAAAAATCTCAGCAGAATCTTTTTCAGCAGTCAAAACGCCAAAAAAATGTAAACTCGGAATCAGGTTTGAAATCGATAAAAAGCTTGAAAACCATTCCAAAATATTTTTCATCATCTGATGAAATAGTTTTGACAAATCCAACTTTAAATAACCCGTACGAGGAATTTCACCAAAAACATAGAACATCAGTCCTTACCGCAAAAATTCGATATCACAGTTTAGCTTCAAAAAAAAACAACATAAATCAATACGAACGATTGAAAAAATATCAGCAGCCAAGTTTTGACAAATTTCGAGACAGGTTTGATGGAATAAAAATGTTTTATGAACCATTCAAACATTTCAAGTACAAACCTGAAAAAGGTTGGAGCTTGTAAAATTCTTAGTTCTATTAACTTTAAAAAGCACTATTTTCAAATTTTTTTCATTAAATACATTTCTGTTAAAATATGTTATGGCATTTTAATAAAACTGAACCAAGATGTTAAAGGCTTCTTCAAATTTGATTACATTTAAAGAAACTGCGTTCATTTTAATTTAAAATTTTTTTGATTTTAATATATAAAATTTTTTTCTTAAATTTTAGGCCATTTATAATCAAACTCATTTTTGTAATTAATTTAACAAAAATATTTTATTGATTTCTCAGAAAAAAAAGTTGATTTAATGAAAATCAATAACAATTGCTGTTGCAATACATTTACCACACCGGATGAACAACAACGAATTCTTATAAGACAACGAGTTGAAAAGCTAAAGTTGAATCGTCTTACAAAAAAATGTTCTAGTCGAATATTGGAGCAAAATCAAAAAGTATCAGACCAGTCTCAGCAACTGACACAAGAATCAGATGAGCGGAGAGAAACGTTGCAGCAACTTACACAACAAAAACCTGACCAGCCATCATTTAAACAGTTTGCAAACAGAGTCAGCAGTTTTAATTCAGTCAACAAAATGCCTAACACGTTCCTTCACCAAATGTCTATGAATCTCATTCCAGATTGCAAATTCGGTAATTCAATTTATCCAATGGTCCCTGCATATGTCTATCCATATTTACCCTATCACCATAGCAATGATTATGCATATTTTTTAACTTATCCATTGTTATGAGTTAGAAATGAGAGTATTATGCAAACGATTCCTAATACAAATACTATTTAACGTATCAAATCTATTTTTGCATTATATATTCGACTTGAATTTTTTTATTTGGTACAAAAATTAACTATTTAAAAAATTAATTGATTTGTATAAATATTTTAAATAAATTATTGACTTCAATATCACATTTTTCTATAACTTTTCGATTTTCTTGCGCTCAACGTTTTACAAAGACTCTGAAATTATGCGCTAAAAACACAGTTTTACCAAAATAAAAAGTTTTCAAAGTAACTAACTTTATTAAAATTTTGTGAAAAGTTTTTTTAATAAAAAATACAGCAAAATCTTGATGTTTTCTTATAAAAATATACATCGGAGAAAACACCGGTTCTCGTCCGATCACTGTAAACATTTAAATTAAAAGAAACAACCGTGTTAAGTTTTTCATATTATTTTCATTCTCGTCCGATCACCGAAGTTAAGCAACGTCGAGCCCGGTTAGTACTTGGATGGGTGACTGCCTGGGAATAGCGGGTGCTGTAGGCTTTTTCTTTATTTATATATTTTATTTTTATTATCAACGGTTAGTGTCTGGTTGCTTTCGTAATTCGTGGCCGCCGATTACTTTTGCTAAAAATTTCTTCACTTTTTTCTCGCCGTGTAAACATTTAAATGAAATAAAAAACAACCATGCTTTCGTAATTCGGTTTCTAACGATCTCTTTACTTTTAAATTAAAAGAAACAACCGTGTTAAGTTTTTCATCTTATTTTCATTATCGAGATTTTTTCATAGCGATATCAATTGAATGGCGTCGTGGTTGAACAATAGGCGTTACGATTAAATGGTATAACTATAAATTATCTTACGAAGCAGACTCTTTCGTCTACGGCCATATCACGTTGAAAACACCGGTTCTCGTCCGATCACCGAAGTTAAGCGACGTCGAGCCCGGTTAGTACTAGGATGGGTGACCGCCTGGGAATACCGGGTGCTGTAGGCTTTTTCTTTATTCATATATATTTTATTTTTATTATCAACGGTTAGTGTCTGGTTGCTTTCGTAATTCGTGGCCGCCAATTACTTTTGCTAAAAATTTCTTCACTTTTTTATCGCCTTGTAAACATTTAAATGAAATAAAAAACAACCGTGTTAAGTTTTTCATCTTACTTTCATTATCGAGTTTTTTTCAAAGCGATATCAATGAATTGCGTAGTGGTTGAACAATAGGCGTTACGATTAAATGGTATAACTACAAAGGAGCTTACGAAGCAGACTCTTCGGTCTAGGGCCATATCACGTTGAAAACACCGGTTCTCGTCCGATCACTGTAAACATTTAAATTAAACGAAACAACCGTGTTAAGTTTTACATCTTCTTTTCATTATCGTGTTTTTTTAATAGCGATATCAATTGAATGGCGTACGAAACAGACTCTTTCGTCAACGGCCATATCACGTTGAAAACACCGGTTCTCGTCCGATCACCGAAGTTAAGCAACGTCGAGCCCGGTAAGTACTTGGATGGCTGACCGCCTGGGAATACCGGGTGCTGTAGGCTTTTTTTTTCATAAATTTTTTATTTTCAATCAACGGTTAGTGTCTGGTTGCTTTCGTAATTCGGTCTCTAACGATCTCTTCACTTTTTTCTCGCCGTGTAAACATTTAAATTAAAAGAAACAACCGTGTTAAGTTTTTCATCTTATTTGCATTATCGAGTTTTTTTCAAAGCGATATCAATGAATGGCGTCCTGGTTGAACAATAGGCGTAACGACTAAACGGTATATCTATAAAGGAGCTTACGAAACAGACTCTTTCGTCAACGGCCATATCACGTTGAAAACACCGGTTCTCGTCAGATCACTGTAATCATTTAAATTAAAAGAAACAACCGTGTTAAGTTTTTCATCTTATTTTCATTATCGATTTTTTTCAAAGTGATAACAACGATTGGCGTCGTGGTTGAACAATAGGCGTTACGATTAAATGGTAAACTATAATGGAGCTTACGAAGCAGACTCTTTCGTCTACGGCCATATCACGTTGAAAACACCGGTTCTCGTCCGATCACCGAAGTTAAGCAACGTCGAGCCCGGTTGGAACTTGGATGGGTGACCGCCTGGGAATACCGGGTGCTGTAGGCTTTTTCTTTTTTCATATATATTTTATTTTTAATCAACCGGTTAGTGTCTGG